TTATGGCAGGAACAAGCAAGCGGGCCTCCAATTAACCATTCTAACATTTAACCTTGTCAACCATGCATCACTATTCTGCATTTTAATTATGCTTTGATTTCTAGCTTGCGGATATCCTGACACACGTTGCATGGATAACACACATAAAACAGGGCAGAGAAATTGGAAATCATTTTAAAAGCCACAGAAATGATGTGCTCTCCCTACATCAATTTTCATCTATTTTAGGATGACCTGCAGCGAGGAATAGCACAGAGTTTAAAAGGTTGAGGATGTAAGGTAATTCCCACTACCAGTTCCTGACTGAGTTCTTTCACACCTTCTGGCAGCTGGAATCGGAAGGTCCTCAGCAGGTTGGTAAAGAAAAGGAAAAACTCAGTCCTGGCTAACTGTTCTCCCGGACATACACGAGCCCCTGCAAAGGAAATAACAGAAAAACAGCAAGGGACGAGCTAGCTTTGATCCAAAGCACACAGTCTCATGGCAATCCCTACCAACCACTATGGGGGCAGTTCTGGCATCTGTCAAGGCCAGGAGAAGTTGAAGCAAACCATTGCTTTGTGTTTCCACATGTTGGGGGCTCGGATGCTCTCTTCTTCTGTGCCAAATTCCCAAGTTGTGAATCAGCTTAATTTTTCAAACATTTCCTTTGAGGACAAATGACCCCACACAGTAGGCTAATGACAGCTTAGTTCAGGGGCTAGACAGAAAAGGTGGAATAACGGGATGTGGTATGTCGTTGGTGCCAGAGTACTAAATCATTACAGCTCTTTGGGCAGAGAAACAGATATACAAAGTCAAATAATGCAAAAACCAACATAGGAAACGGCACAGTCATCAAGACTGGACAGAATCGAGCCCTGAGGGCCACATCACTTAACTGACATGGGACAGAGCAATCGCTCTTCCACGCAGGATCAGCTATCCAGTTAGGAGCAAGCCCGCGTAATACTACGGCTCCATTTTCAATCTCTCATCTTAACCAGAATTAGATAATGCTCTGATAGATTATATGAGCAACTACTGAGAGATATCCCACAGCACAACCAGGAATGCGGTATCCTTTTTCTTTTTTCCCCAAAAACCTAGATATAGCTAAGCGAGACAGAGTGAGTTATACTATGTCACTTCTTTAAAAACAGGGCAAAGTGCAGGATTTAAATGCAGCCAATTCAGTTCTGGACTTTGGTACTGGAGGAAAGATTCTCAACCCTTTTCCTGGAAGAATCAGTTTCCCAGACCTGAGGGCATCTCCAGAGGTGCCGTTTGCTCTAAAAGAGAGGTCAGGAAACTGGATTTCAAACAGCACAAAAGGACAGGACCAAAACCTGCTCCCAGATGTTCCCTTTCAAAACTGCAGGAGATCCAATCATGGATGTTCCACCACTTTGGCTCTCAATCCTCTTTCAAGGCAGTCACCAAACAGCAGGAAAACGATTCAGTGTTTACCTGCTCCAAATGCCAGGAATTCTTCTCTACTCAAAAAATTTCCATCCTTGTCCAAAAAATGATTTGGATTGAATTCTTCAGGGCTCTCCCATTGCTTTGGATCCAGAAGAACAGAGTGGAAATCTGCAATAATGAAAGTTCCCTGAAGGGAAGACAATTGACAAAGAAGCATCTGGATGAGCCCACTCAAGCATTGTCTTTGACTAAAATCACACACATCTTAGGCTGCAATCCAACACTGCTAATCTGAATTTACAATAGGATTAGTTCCTTCTCGATAGTCATCAGAAGAATTACACTGTTATTATGACTTTAGATACGTCTGCATGAACATGTTAGAAGGTTGGGAAATTTAGACATTTTTAGATATTTAGACATTTAGCTGTTTAAACATTTACCTTTATCTGTTTGTATAACATGAAGTAAAAGCAGGCTCAGCAATATGCCAATATTCCCTTTCCTGTTGGTATGGCTGACCTCACAGTGATTGGCTTCACTTTAGATTATCAAAAAGT